GATCAGTCTGGGTTCAACTAGGAGACAGAAAGCACACAGTAATTTAAACAGGATTAGGTTAATATAAAGAATTATTAAACAGTGATAGGAGAGTGGTTACAAAAAGATGGAAAGAAAACTCAAAGTGTATCCTATGGCTGAAGGAGGATACCCAAGAGAGAGAAACTTGGAAGGGGTTTCGGACCTTGTTGTAGAAGGTATGGTTGCAGCCCACTGTCTGGCAGAGAAGTTGCTGGGGTACCCAGGCCATCCATAGTCACTGTGAGATCAGAAACAATCTTGCAGGGGGTGGGGTGGGGTGGGGTGGGGGTTAAGTGAGTTTAGCCTGTTAGGTGGGCACACAGATGTTAGGAAGCCATGGGAAGCAAACCTGTGAAGTACAGTATAATGATTGGGCTTTTGGCTCATTAGACAGTCAACTAGACAGGGCATTTCACCATGATGACTCTAAGGCTGAGGAGAAGATGTGGGAATCAGTGACTTGAGTTAGGTCGAGTCCTCTTTTTCCCTGGGGCTGTCAGGTGTGCTGCTGTGGCCTGAATTGGGAAATGGTGAAAACACGTGGTAGCTAGCACTGCAGAAAACTGCACCCTGCCGTCACTTAGCACTGGAGACTCCTATGTGGGCCAAATAGTGGTGCAAAACTGGTTCTCTCCAGGAGCCTGGATAGCAAGCCATCCTTTTCTCCTCAGTGTATCTCCAGTGCCCTCTACTGACAAAGTATATCAGTGTGCCAGCTGGCAAAGAAAACATTTAAAGGGCCCATATCCATTTTCACAGATCAAGCAACAAAGGGTGAATTTATAGTTGAGAACCACTTAATTGATAGCTGGTACGGTAATAAAACAGTCTGATTCCCAGCACTCGGTGTTCTTCCTACCTCTCATATATACCTTATTCTTGTCCTAGTTATTTAGAATACTATCTATATCATGTATTAGATATACAAATTCACATATGTCTATGTCTGAACTCTATTCAGCTGATATATTTGTATATTTTATACTCAAACTACACTCTTTTCTTTAGAATAGCTTTCAGTAAAAATGGTATCTCATGGGTGAATACCTCTTAATTTTTTCCAAAATTTTCTCTTCTTGATAAATTTGAGTTAACTTCTCATATATCATAGAAATCTTTTTGAAGTTTTGAATAGGTTTGAATTTATTAATTCGGCAATTATTAATATCTATAATAATGAATCATTTATACAGAAAGGGGTGAGCAATGGGACAAAAGGTGGGACAACTATAACTGAACAGCAATAAATTTTAAAATAAATAAATATATTTTAAGAGCTCAGAGATCTGAGCTTTCTCTTCCTTTGGTATTTCACATTTTTGTGTGACAGTTTTTGGTATTTAGCTAAATATATGTGGTCAGTTTTATTTTATGTCAATCTGTTAGTCTTCATTTTAGTTTTTACAGCCTCTTTATATCCCACTGCTGATTTTGTTTGTTTGTTTTGCATTAGTAGTGTCCTAAGAGGCATCCATAGGTTAGTGGTTAAGGGCATATTCTCTGGCACTTGCTGCCTCTGTTAAAACCTCAGCATTGGGATCTTGAACAGGTGACTTAACCCTCTGTGCAAATGTTTCCTCAGTAATGAGATAGGCTTCATACATATATTTCTGTGATAGAGTGAAGGGATCAATTAAATAATCTAATTAAATTTAAGGGATTGGTGCTGGGCCTGGCACTTATTAGATACTAAGCTGTCATTGTCATCAATGTCATATTTATCATTTTCATTGTCATCCAGATAATGTTTTCACACTAATACTTACTGCTCTGTTGTTCCTCTGTTTTCCTCCTGAAAACAGTGTGAACCATACTTTAGATTACAATCTTGTATATAGTATACTTGGTCTCTTCTACCCACTCTTGTCTGATTTCCAGGACTTCCTCTATATTCAGTCCCTCTTGCAGGTGAGATTTAAAATATTTGGTTGTTAATTTTTCAGCCAAGGTAAATTTGAAGCTGTTTGTTCTTATGTTTATTCTTTAAAGGAAACCGATGGTTTTGATTGCTGATGCCACTTTATTTTTTAATTTATTATGTGATTTTTTGATTAATTATGCTATTATAATTGTCCCAATTTCCCCCCTTTGTGCCTCTCCCTGCCCACCAGCATGCCACATTCCCTCTGGTGATTACGCCTCCTTTTGTTCATGTCCATGGGTCATGCATATAAATTCTTTGGCAACTCCAATGTCTATACTTTCTCTTAACATCCCCTGCCTATTCTGTATGAATTTGTGCTCCTTAATCCCTTCACCTTTCCCCCCATTCCCTCAGACCCCTTCCCCACTGACCACCATCCCAATGTCTCCATATCTTTAATTCTGTTTCTCTTCTGCTTGTTTGCTTAGTTGGTTTTTTAGACTCAGTTTTTGATAGTTATGTATTTATTGCCATTTTAATATTCATAGTTTTGATTTTTCTTAAACAAGTTCCCTCAACATTTCATATAATAATGGTTTGGTGATGGTGAACTCCTTCAGCTTTATCTTGTGTGGGAAGCTCTTTATCTGCCCTCTGATTCTCAATGATAGCTTTGCTTGGTAGAGCAATCTTGGCTGTAGCTCTGTGGTTTTGATGACTTTGAATATTTCTTGCCAATCCTTTCTAGCCTGCAAAGTTTCTTTGGAGAAATCAGCTGACAGACTTATGGGAACTCCTTTGTAGGTAATTACCTCTTCTTATCTTGCTGCTTTTAAGATTCTCTCTTTATCTTTAACCTTTGGCATTTTAATTATGATGTGTCTTGGAGTGGGCCTCTTTGTATCCATCCTCTTTGGGACTCTCTGTGCTTCCTGGACTTGCATGTCTCTTTCCTTCACACATAGGTAAGTTTTCTTTCATTATGTTTTCAGATAGTTTTCCAGTTTCTTGCTCTTTCTCTTCTCTTTCTGGCACACCTATGATGCAAATGTTGGAATTCTTGAAGTTGTCCAGTAGGCTGCTTACACTGTCCTTGCTTTATTGGATTCTTTTTCTTCTTGTTCTGCATGGTTATTTTTTGCTTCCTTATGTTCCAAATCATTGATTTGATTCTCAGCCTCATTCTCTCTATTGTTGTTTCCCTGTAAATTGTTTTTTTTTTATTTTTTTTTATTTCAATGAGTGTATCCTTTGTTTCTGACTGGATCTTTTTTATGCTGTTGAGGTCCTCATAAGTTTCTTGAGTATCTTTATAATGAGTGTTTTGAACTCAGCATCTGATTGATTGCTTATTTCATTTTGATTAGGTATTTTTCCTGAGTTTTGATCTGTTCTTTCATTTGGGCCATGTTTCTTTGTGTCCTCATTTTGGTAGCCTCCCTATGTTTGTTTCTATGTATTAGGTAGCGCTACATTGACTCCATGTCTTGGTAGTGTAGCCTAATGTAGTAGGGGTCTTTTAGTGTCCAGTGGCACAGCCTCTCCTATCAAGGTATGCCCTTCCTGGGGGCTGAACATGCCCCTCTTAAGTGGATCCTTGGTTGCTGCTGGCAGATCAATGGGAGGGATTTACCCAGGCTAGTCAGAGGCAAGGACTGGTTTTGAGTACTGACCACCAACATCCTCTCTCTTTGGAGGATCAGCTGTGCAGAGACAGGGTGTTGGTGCTCCAACACGGTCTGTAGCTGTGCACTGCATGGGCAAGCTCTGGTGTTTCCCAGGTTGTGCGGGGCAAGGTCAGTCCCCACCTTTGTTTTGACTGGGGCAACCCTGCCTGGGCTATAAAGCAGTCTGAGATGGTTTCTACTTGTGCTGGGCTTAGAGATTCCCAGGTGAAGGCTAGCTTTGAATCTAGGCTGGCTGCTGCTAATGTCACTTAGCATGGCACAGTGCCATGCCTGGAGTCACTTAGTGAGAGTGGCTGGAGACTCACTGAGGTGGGCTGTTGCTTGTTTGAGGGGATTTAGGAAGTAGTGAAATATGAGCCAAGACCAGGCATTCATATGGAAACGTCTCTGTTAACAGCTTGGGTGGGCCTGTAAATTAGGTGGGACAGAGTCTTTAGTGTGGGGTGAAATATGTTAACCAGACTGATGGAGTCTAAGATATGGCCTCTGCCAGCTGAGTCTGTGGTTCTGTGGGGGCATGGTTCAGAAAACGGACAGTGGCCTCTGTTTGCCTTTTTGTCTGGGTAAAAGCTGTACCCCGGCTCTCGCCTTAATGCCAGACCCTTCACTTCCTCCCTGTATGCCACTGGTACCTTTCAAGTTGCTACTTTGTTGCTGGAGCTCAGAAGGAATGAGTTTGTGTAAGACCATGTGTAGATCTTTTAAGAATAAATATTTAGGACTCTAGAAGTTTCTTCCACTGACTCAGTCTCTGCTGATTTTTGTCACCAGAAGTTTTGGGGTCTTATCTTCGGCACTGGAACCCTACACTGAGAGGCCTTTTGTGGGGCTGGGACTCTTCACTCCTGAAATATCCCTCCTAAACTTTTATTCATCAGATGTGGATTTGGGACCAGCTGTTCTGAATCTCTGCCCCTCTTAAGTCTGGATGGATGTGTTTTTTTTATTCTGTAGTTGTATGACTTCCATTCAACTTGATTTCTGACACCTTTGTGTGATGGTAGTTCAATATTTTAGTTGCAATTTTGATGTGGCTCTGTGAGGAGGTGAGCTGTGTTTACCTATACTGCCATCTTGATCAGAAGTCCTCTAATGCCACTTTTTTGTTCATTTTTCCATTCCATTCTGAAATCTATTAAAAAGGAATGCAATTTAAATATGTGTTATTTAAAATTCAGTCTTTAGTATATGTTGTAGCATATAACAAACATGAGAAGGTATGTTTTATATTTGTTCTTTTTTGCATTTACTAAGTGTTCATGTATTTGTTAATTTGATCTGTTCATGATAATTAAGAGTTTTCATTAGTATATAAAAGAAGAGTTTTCTAAGACATTTGAAAGTTGTTTCATTGAAATTGTGACAAAACTGACAGGGAAACTTGAAAAATTTTTTTGACTCCATTTTCTGCCAATTTTATTTTATAGGAATCAAGAACCCAGTCTCAGTTGCGAACAGACTCTTGTGTGAAGGGCAGAAGGGCAAGCTCTCAGCTGGCCGAATTCCTCCCTGGTAACCTCTATTCTGTCTCACTTTCTCTCATCTTTGATTTGTTTCATGCAATGTTGGAAGGCTATTTTTACCCACAGAAGTTTGATGCTGTCGTTATACATCAGCCTTACCTTGCCTTAGAGTTGAAGACTCACTTATTCTGTCATCTTGGAACAATTTGTATATTTGGTAGACCTCTGGATGGAATAGAATATTATGAATTAAAGCAGAAAAGAGATGAGAGTTAAGTTTTGCTTTTGCTGTTGATTATAGGGATGTTTTTGCTGTTACTAAGTATTCAACTGGGGTCTTTTTATTATGAAACTTTAAAAGCATCTTGTGTATTCCAGTTTGGAGTCTAAACTAATTTTTAATCTTGAGGAGTTGTTAAAATAAATATACTTAATTTTTCTCTTCTGCAGAAATACATCGTGGCACTAAGATTAATCAGATCACATCTTTTCTCCAGCATTAACATATACAACTTTCATTAAAAACACTTTGAACTTTTTCAAATATTTATAGAAGTAGAGACAACATTGTAAAGGGCCCTCATGAACCTGTCATCCAGCTCCAATAATTAAAAATGATTTTTTTCTTAATCCATTTTGTGCATCTCCTTTTTCTCCTAGTATTTTAAAGCAAATCCTTGATACCCTATTTTTCCCTCATAGTTTCATAAATTTGTCTGTTCACAAAACATAACCACCATCTTGTTAGCATGCCTAACGTTATTCACATATATGTCTCAGTGCTGGCTCATAATCAGTCTTTGTTCAGTACACCTGGCTGTGAAGGTTACATTAATGTTCTGTGTTGAAATTTATAACAAAACAGTACTATAGGAATCACTTTATTTTACTTATAATTTGAAGTCATAGAAAATAAATTAATATAGTTTTGAAAAATCTTGAATCCTTTTACCTAAATAAATTAAAGTTATCCTTTTAATCATATTCTTAAGTGTTTAATTGTGGTACTAGAAGTGTTGATTATAAAAAATTTTCAAAGAAATATTAATTTTTAATATTCTTGTTCAATAAAGCAAGGGTATGGAAAAGCAAATATGACTAAGATAATTTCTAGTAAGTGTTTATTTCCACAGTGTTAAGTAGCATAAAAAATAAGGAAAAGATAACCCAAAATTCTAAAAATTTATAAAGGATACAAATAGATAATTCATAGAAAAGAAAATATTGATGGTGTATAAATACACAAAAAGGTGCCCACTCATATTAATCAAAGAAGTGTGAATTAAAATGAGATAATATTTTCATCTTATTTAGAGTAGCAAAATTAACAGAGACTAATACTATCCATTATTGTTCAGGGTGTAGAAAAATAGTTTTGTTTTTTTTTTAACAAAAAAGGGCTGGAAAGAAGGTTACCAAACGCAATGTGATTACCTTTGGAAGGGTGAAATGAAGAAATAAAATGAGGCAATTATCAAAGGGGACATTTATAATATTTTATATTTTACAAAAATAAGATACATGGGAAAAGTGGTGGCTGTTTTTCTGTTAAAATGATATAATATGTTGCTACATTTGTCTGGAATTAGCTGATTTTCTCATGTACATAGTTCTTCAGCTGTGTTCTTTGTTTTGAAATTGTTTTGACTATTTTAGGCATTTTGCATTTTCATATGAATTTTATAATTAGCCTCTTAATTTCTATAAATAGACACTGGATTTTTGATTTGGATTACAACATATCTATTTATTGAGAATTTCTTTAACCTCTCTGGAGGTGTTTTATAGTTTTTAGCATACAAGTCTTGCACAACTTTTATCCAATTTATATTTTAGTACTTTATTCTTTTTGATGCTGTGATAAATTGCATATGTTAATTTCCATTTGTTTATTGCCAACATATAGAAAAATGATTGATTTTTATTATAGTGATATTCTTGTCCCAGGAATCTGCTAAATTAATTTGTTCTAGTACCACTTTTATAGATTCTTTAAGATTTTCTACATGGATAGTCACATCTTCTGGGGATCTAGTTTTACTTTTTTTGTTCAAATCTGGATTCCTTTGATTAACTTCATTTTCTTAATTACACTGGCTAGGACATTCTTGCCTTGTTTGTGATCCTAGGGAAGTAACATTCAGTCATTTACTTCTAAATATAATGGTCACTATAGATTAGTCATAGAGGCTCTTTTTTGTGTTGAGGAAGTCTTCTTTGTGTAGTGTGCTGAGAGTTTTCAGTAGGAGTGGGTGTTACACTTTTTCAAATGCTTTTCTGTATTTACTGAGATGATCTTATAATTTTCTTAGTTAATACAGCAATTGGTTTTTAGCTGTTCAATTAACAGTTGCATTCCTGGGATAAATTCTATTTGGTTGTAATGTGTTATCCTTTTACGATATTGTTGGATCCAATGTGCTAATAATTTGTAAAGAATTTTTCCATCTATGTTTATGAGAGATATTGGCCTGTTTTGCTTTTTTTTGATAAACAGGAATATATATTTCATGAGATGTGGGAAAGTTTTGTCTATTATTTCTTCACATATTTTTGCTGATCTCCCCTTCTCTTCTATCCTTTAGGACTCCAAATGTACATCTATTTGATCTCTTGTACCAATTGTAGTCCCACAGATCACTGATAATTTGTTATCTTCCCCCCTTTTTAAATTAATGAGTGAATTAATTTTTAAAAGATTTTATTTATTTGTCTTTGAGAGAGGGGAAGAGAGGGACAGAGAGAGAGGAACATTGGTTTGGTTGCCTATTGCATGCATGCTAGCCAAGACCTGACTGCAAGCCAGGCAGCGACCCTTAACTTGCAGGCCAAGGACAACCATGAGCCATGCTGATCGGGGCTGTTTACCTTTTTCATTCATTTTTCTCTTTGTTGCATTTTGAATAGTTTTCATGGCTGTTTTCAAATTCAGTAATTATTTTTCTGCAATATCCAGTCACCTGGATGTTAATCCCATCCAATTTATTTTTTATTTCTGACATTGTAGTTTTTTGTCTTTCAGAAGTTCAGTTTTCATTTAAAAAAAAGTCTTCCATATATCTAGTTAACATGTTTAATCTTTCCTGTAGCTTCTTGAACATATGAATAGAGTTGTAACTCATCAAAGATTCATCAAAGATTCTACTTAGAATCTTTGGTACTAATTCTATCATTTTTGCCATTTCTGGGTGGTTTTCAATTGAATGATTTCTCTCTTCTTTATAGATTATGTTTTCCTGCTCCTTGCATGCTTGGTAATTCTTTTTTGTATTCCAGACAGTGTGAGTTCTACATTATTTGGTGCTGGGTATTTTTGTATTTTAATAAATATTCTTGAGCTTTATTCTAGGATGTGGTTAACTTATTGAAAGGCAGTTTCATCTTTTCAGGTCTTGCTTTATACTGTTACATGTGACTGGGGAAACATTTAGCCTTGAACTAATTTTGTTTTGCTATCCAGGCCAAACCATTTTAAGTACTGTAACAGATGCACCTATAATGAGGTCTTTTACTTTGACTGATGGAAACAGGAGCTGTTTCTGGCTTTGTATGAACTTGGGGATTGTTTCCTCTAAAACTTTCACATTATTCTTTCTCAGGATTTGGGTAATTTCTTATACATACACTTATCTCTAGTCAGCTGAAGACTAGAGGGAGATTCTGGAGCTCTCCAGAGCCCCTTCTCTGTGCAGCTCTCTTCTCTGGCACTCTGCCTCCTGAACTCTGGCTGTCTTGGCTTCTTTGGATGCCCAACTCAGACACTGCTGGGCTCTTCCTGAATTAACCTTATTATGCTGTGGCTTGGAAACTCTAGGCAGTAAGCTGGGACAGTGACAGGGTTTATTTACCTTGTTTGTTTCCTTTCTCTCAAGGATCACTGTCCTATGTTGACTAGTGTGTAATGTTTAAAAACTGTTGTTTTCTATATTTTATCTGATTTTTTTTTTCATGGGTTCAGGCAAGAGTATAAATTTGTTTCTTGTTACTCCATCTTGTCTGGAAGCAGAAATCTTTCCTAAATGTTCACTGTATCCTGTAGCAGTTTTTAAAAAAATTCCAATTCCCTGAGTATCCTAGTGTATTGTCTCTTTAAAAATACTGTTTAATCTATTGTAGTTCATAAGTGTATTCAAATTTTTTAATATACTACTTTTGTTTTGTCAGCATGAAAAAAAATTTGAAGCCTAAATATTGAAAGAAATATAAGAGACCTATCAACTAATCAGAAGGTAGATTTAGTTGGATTTTCATTCAAACCAAACAGTTTAAAAAACAAAACAAAAATAATAGCAAAATTTTTTAAGACAACCAGGGATATGTGAATATTGACTATATTTTGAGTCTAAGGATTTATTGTTAAAATTTTTTAGGTGTCAGTTATGTTGTGGTTATTTTTAAAAAGTCATTTTTTAAGCCCTGGCTGGTGTAGCTCAGTGGATTGAGTATGGGCTGGGAACCAAAGCATCGCAGGTTCGATTCCCAGTCAGGGTACATGCCTGGGTTGCGGGCCACATCCCCAGTGGGGGCCATGTGAGAGTCAACCACACATTGATGTTTCTTTCTCTCTCTTTCTCCCTCTCTTCCCCTCTCTAAAAAATAAATAAATAAATAAATAAAATCTTAAAAAATATATAAAAAAGTCATTTTTTGAGATGCATGCAAATATTTATATTTGAAATTCTATGATATCTGGGATTTGCTTCAAAGTAATTTGGTTGAGGGTATAAATGAATGGAAATAGCAGTCTATTGATAATTGATGATAAAAGGTTGATGATCCATTGGTTCAATACACTATTCTCTGTATTGTATATTTGAAAATATCTGTAATAGAAAGTTTTTAAAGAGTTAAATTATTATTATCTGGTTGTTATGTTATTTCTCAATTCAGCAAGTTCTCCTTTATATACTTTATGTGCCTGTAAACGTTATTGAATCAATAGCTACTCATTTGTCTTCCCTCAATATTGTATATTTATGATGAACAAAGAAGTAATTTGTTAAGTAGATGGAAATCAGTTTTTAAGTCCAAAAAAGCAACTATAATTTT